ATATAAATTTATTGTAATATATTTTAAATATGTAATCATTTTAAATATGTATCATAAAGTAACATTTAAAGCACTTAGCTTTAATATAATTTCCCCTAATTTTTTTTTATAGTTTGTTTTGTTTTACTTTGCTTTATTCTGCTTTGCTTTGTTGAGGGCTGAAACTAGGACCTTTGCACTAAGCTATACGCTTAGTCCCTTTTTATTTTTAAACCATGTCTTGCCAAATCACCAAGGCTGCATTTATTTTATGATCCTCTTTCTCAGACTTCCAGAGTGCTGGGATTATAGCTGTGAACCACCACAGCAAGCTCACTTTTTAATTTCTTATTGCTATCAAATGTGGCTTTCCTCAATACCATCGAATTTATATTTAACGTATACCTGTCGAGGTTCCCATCATTGTAGTGGTATACATGCTTTCTTTTCACTTGCCACAGAAAACAATGTATTTTCTCTGGGGTAAGACACAGAGATCAAAAAGCTAAATGTTTACCTATTTGGGACAATCTTTTTGGACATTCATGATAGGAATATTGTAAAATAATTGGAAAATGCTAAACTTACACTCTGTAAATGCTTCTCCAAAATTCCAAAATCTGAATTTTCTTCCTTCCCTCATTTGAAACAATTGAATGCTCACATCACAAATATTCACACTTACACTTATTTGGGGCCATAATGTATGGCCTCTGGGAAACAACCACTGAGATGTTGTTTTTATTATGCTTACCTGTTTAGGAAGACCACATCAATTGATTTAATTTTCTCTAATTTTACCTTTGACTGCTGCTACATGACCTCTGCCCACCCTCCACTTATTTTATTCTGGTGAATGTTCTACATCCATAAAGAAACATTTAGTAATATCATCACTTTTACTTAACTCATATATTTTAATTATGGTATGCTGGATGTTACAAAATATAATTTTAATAGATCTCCTTTCTGCCTCTGGCCACTGGTATACTAAACCATGATAGAATGAAGTGTTATTTTTAAATGGCCAACCATTACAAGTCTAAACATTTTCAAAATAAACTTTGATTTTAAAATTAAGCAATTAAATAATCTTCTTCCATGAAGACTTTACTTAATAATACTTATTCAAATATGATGCACAGCTTAAAATGCTGAAGTTCATATGTACCATTTTAGATTCCCAAAAAGTGAAAATGACCTTGGCAGCAAACACTAGCTATCTAACAGCTAGGCTGAAATTTTCTCAACAAATATAAACAATTCTCCAGTATATAAATAGTAATCACATAAAGATACTGTGGGAATGTGAGAAGGAACAAATAAAGTCAAGTCCAAGCCATGACTAAAGATGAAACAAGATGGAGACCTAGACACCAACAACTTCAAAATGGAGCATGATTAACTAGTGAATCATTACCATGACTTCTGACTTCCAGGAAAATTGCTAGTATACCCATCACTGAAATGCCCCTAATCCTCACAGCACCTAATGCAGCCCCCTTTAGAATATCCAGAACAAGTCAAATCCTGTACTCGTTCAGTGTCTCCTCTTTCTTATGTACACCCAATAATTCACCTGCTATATTTTTGTTTTACATAGAAACTAAGTACATCTAGTATTCAATTATTATTGGCAAAATCTTGGCCTGGGAATGGTGTTAAATATATTTTTGATTTGATTTATATTACTTTTTATCATATGTTAGAATTTACAGTTAAATAAAGATACAGGCCAGATGTTGTGGCACACATCTGTAATTCCAGCATTATGGAAAACTGAGGGAGGATGATCACACATGTGAGCTTAGCTTAGGCAAATTACTGGCTTAGTGAGACACTAGGTCAAAATAAAAACTAATGACAGGACTAGGAATGTTACTTGGTCTGAGGTCCTCAGTTCATTCCCTAGGATCATTAAATAAAACACCATACAAACAAACAAATGCTATTTGTCTTACATACATACATACATATATACATATATACATATATATATGCACACATATATCTTATATATAATGTATATATATTTAAATTATTATGCTGATGATTGGAATCTTCTTGATAGTTTTCCAGTCTTTTCCCCTAATGCTTTCTATTTTACCTGTCTGTTCTATTTTGGTTTTGTTTGTACCCTTGTTGTTCCTAGAAATAAAAACAAGTATGCGTCTAACTGTGTACTTTTGTACCAGCCCTTTCCTCTATATTACACACACACACACACACACACACAGTGCATGTTCTCACTCACTTTACTCCTCTCCAATTTCCATCTATTTATTATCTTCCTATTTTTGTATTGTTTTTTACACATTAATTATCAAGATATAATATGCTATATATTATACTTGTTTATTTTGTATTTTTGTCAGTCAGGTTATGAATGGATGGTATAAAATGGAGTTTATTGTGTTGTTGATGGTTAGGTTGAATACAACTCTGTTTTATTCTTTTTCTTTTTTTTTTTCCATTATTTTTATTGGTACATTTTAGGTATACAATACAGTTACATGCAACATTGGGATCTTGGACCTTTATATGATTTATCTTGGTTCTTATTTTTCCCACATTTCCCTGCTCTCCCTTCACCCCCTCCACCTTTCCCTATTTACAAAGATTTTGTTTCCATTTTTACTTTTCTCATATTTTTCCCTTCTTTCCTTTCCCCCATCCCTACCACTTCCCCTACTCCTTAGATCTTTTCTTTCTATTTCACATTAGCAATTAGAGCATTTGAACCTTATTTACACTTTTAGTCACACCAGATAAAGTATCTAGTATTTACACATGCATGTCCGATTTATTTCACTTTAGAGTATGGCCTCAATGTATACCCATTTAGTTATAAATGTCTCTAACTTCTCTTTCTTTATGGCTGAGTAGTACTCCATCTTATTGAAAAACCACATCTTTATCCAGTCTCTCCACACTCCAGGGCCTCAAACAATGCTTACTTTGCAGTAATCATACACACACTAAATTTTTTTTTCTGAATAAATAAGGGAAAGTGAGATGCAATGAGACATATTGGGGAAAAAAGTTTTGAAAAATTCAGCATTTAATGTAATTCTATGACAATTTCTAATTGAAAGCTATAGTTGCATCACAGATAGCAAAAGCAACCAAAAATCTTCATTATTCGGAAGATCAAATAAGGCGATTCAGCGATATGAACTCCTGTTTTCTATACTTCTGTATTTATGTTACACATTTCAATTCATTCAGTTTCAGTTTCATAAATACTTCTAAATACTCTACAATATCATCTGGACATTGCTCAATACTAAAAAATGTCAGGATTGCAAGACTACTACATGTTAGTTGTGTGATTCCATCTCCAACGTCTTCATATCATCATGTGTAACTTGTGATTCATGAAAATAACCATTATCTTACTGCTGCTCACTAGGCTGTGTGAGATTATGATCCCGGAGCAAGCCCTGAAGTCCGTCATTCACTAAAGTTACACAATTAATGCTGTCATTATTAATGGTAGATAATAGAAATGAACAAAAAGAATGTGCTTCTGTATTCAGACAGACTTTTCAAATAAAGTTTAAAAATATTCTAATTCTAAAAATACAGCTGAGAAACCAATTTAACATCTCATACAGTTATTTTAATATAACCACACTGTTTCTCCCTTGCCCCGAGCACACACGTACATCAAGCTACAATTTTGAACTTAATTAGGAATTTTAAGTTTTTGAGATCTTTATTTTCCTTTATTGTCAAGAATAACACTTAGACAAGAAGGACTTCCCCTTGAACGTGATTAATAGTAATGAGGGCAGATTTTGCTGTATGTTTGCTGTAATTTCAGGTAATGTTGAGATGATTTCAAGTGCAGATGAGATTTGCTGCTGAGGTAAAGGAGGGAGGAAGAGTATTTACTTACAGTGTATTTCTAGCACCTGCATGGCTACCTGAGGGGTGGCATTGAGGGATTCGTGGTCTACTCTGCAGATTACTGCCACTCCGTCATCACTCCGGTCCACTCGAAAATCCAGGGTGCTGCTCACAGTGAATGTCTTACGATTTGCATCCTCTTCTTTTAAATATTTTACATCTGAAAATAAAATATGGGTATTAAATTTCTACAACACCTCTGAAAGCATAGTACACTCAAAACACTGAAATATTTTTCTCCCCATTTCTGTTGATTTTTAAGATGCAAATATGTGTTCTTTTGACTTAATCCATTTCAGTTTGACCAAAATTGCAGCCAGTTAAAAAAATAAAACTTAAGGGTTAAACACAGAAATAAATAAAACATGGTGAATATAATTTTAATTTCCTTCGACTCAGGTTTATTTAATTCATAATCAGAATTATAATTAAATAGTAATAATTAGGTAGAAAATACTAGTTGTGATTCCATTTGAAAAAAAGGCAAACCGATTTGAAAAGTAGTCCCCTTTTCTCTTAGATTTAAGCTTTATTAAAAGATGAGCTTGGGCCGGGGATTTAGCTCAGTGTTTCCCACTGCCCGATCTGCAAGTGTACGGTCCTGAGTTCAATCCATGGTACCAAAAAAAAAAAACAAAAACAAAAAAAACAGATAAGCTTATTTCTCTCATCCACAAGCACAGTTGGGAAGAGTAAATTTTTAATTATCTAGTTATGTCTTAAAGAAAGCATATGTATTTGTGCTCTGGCTTTAACATGAAATCTATGACACAGCAAAATTGGTAAAGAATGCCTAAGATAAGAAAGTTGTCCTATTTAGTAAAGAAAAAGGGAACAGTCATCTTAATACTCTAAATGTCTAGATGAATATTTGCAGTGAAATCTACTCGGAGATTAATATTCACTTGGCTGAGGAATCCATTTCACCATAGATGAAAATACTTTCCTCAAGATAGGAATTCACTCACTGATTTTAAACTTACTGTGCATAAGCCAGATTTATTGTTAAATGGTGTACTTAAGGATTATTCTTTCTATGGGAAAAAGACTTTTTAATAATATCCTCATTTCATTTGCAGTTTCTCAATTCTGAAGTAGCTGATAAGAAGAGGGCAATTTTAACAGATTAGAAATAACAGTGACAGGCTAAGGTTAAGATATCATTATAACAAGATCTTAAATGTGGTTGAAAGGAAAATGTGTTCAGTTTTGTGATTTCTCTTTTTCCCATCACTCATCATTAAATAAAAACAACTTTTTTTCTGGAAATGAATACTCTTAAATAAATGCATAGAATATTTTACACTGGAGGCCAGGGATTTAGCTCAGTGGTTCCACTGCCTGCTTTGCAAGTTAACAGGTACTACGTTCCATCCCAGGTGTAACCCCCGCCAAAAAAAACAATAATAACAACAACAAAAACACAAGAATATTTTACATTGAATACAATAATGTATTTGACAAATATTTACATGTAAATAAAAATAAACAATTTATCTAAGTAAAGTGCTTCATTTCTCTGTTTTCTACCAATATTTTTTTCTTTTAAAACAACATTGAATTGCATGTATTTGATGAGTAGATACATATGCGGTTCATTGATTTTTAAAATTATTTCTAGATAAATGTAACTTTATTTTATTGATTAATTGTAGAAACAAAAATAAAATCCATCTTAGGAAAAGATGAAATTAGATAAATGTTGCACATCTTGGTCCTGAATATATGCTTATGGTAAGTTCATATGCTATGAAAAAATATCCAATTAAGTATAGTTCTTAAATAATTTTAGAGTGTAGGAAAATTTCTAATACATAGGGAGACAGCATAGACTTTCAATTCTCCATTTTAATGTGTTAATCATATGGAATATTGAATTGTATGCAAAATATTTTAAATGCAATTTATATAAAATATTATTTTTGTTAAAATAACAGATTTTGACATTTGAAGATACATTTTAATTTAAGAAAAATATTAGAAATTATATTTTTTTGGGGGGGGTATCAGGGATTGAACTTGGGTCCTTGTGCTTTTGAAGCAGGTGCAGGAACCAATGAGCTAAATATCCAGCCCCTTAAATTTATATTTTTAATGTCTCAAAGACTATACAAAAATGTTGCTACATTTTAATTTGTATTTTCTTTCCTATAAATCATGTAGCTTTTTTACTGGCTCCTTTCTCTAAATTTTTTTGGGGGGGGTATCAGGGATTGAACTTGGGTCCTTGTGCTTTTGAAGCAGGTGCAGGAACCAATGAGCTAAATATCCAGCCCCTTAAATTTATATTTTTAATGTCTCAAAGACTATACAAAAATGTTGCTACATTTTAATTTGTATTTTCTTTCCTATAAATCATGTAGCTTTTTTACTGGCTCCTTTCTCTAAGCAGTGTCAGAATAAAAAAATAAATAAAAAAGTTTAGCTATCTTGACAAGTCGCATTTACAATATTTCATGCAGTATACAAAAGTTATTTCAAAATATTGCTGTTAATTGTTTGATTTTAATGACAACTAGATTTAAGAACTTACACATCTGTTTATTTTGCTGTTTTTATTACAAAATATTATTAATATAATATTAATTGGACACAAAATTTGAGAGCTATTGTATGTCACAAAATTTTGATGAGCATCATTCAAATAAAAGAAACAAAACTAAAATTTATTTATTTTAATAGGCTTATATGACAGCTAATAAGGTTATTAGGAGCCATAAAATGAACAGAAAGGATCACTAAGCTGAAATCATTCATAATCTTTTCCCATATTTTATGCTGCCCTCTTTGCCCCAAAACAAAACAGAAACTAAAAAGTGTCTTTATCGTGGTTGCTCATCAAATTTTTATGTTACATAATTGCTATCAAATTTGATGTGTCCATAAGTCACACATGTATAAATACCGAATAGTTTCTCTGGTGTGAAAAACTATAATAGTGCATAAGATCCTAATGGGATAACTGACCATGTGAAATAGGAAGAAAAGGGCTAAAGGTGTAGGGAAAGTGGGAAGGGTAGGCGAAAGGTAATCAGGGAAAAGGAAAAAATATGAGAAAATGAAAAGATAGAAATAAAGTGTTTGTAAATGGGGGGGATGAAGGGAGGGCAGGGACAAGGGGAAAAAATGAGAACCAAGACCTGCCATGTAGAGGTAGAAGATCCCAATGATGAATGTAACTGTACTATATAACTAAAATGTACCAATAAACTCAGTGAAAAAACAAAGTACTAGACAAATTTTAAAAATAAAAATACAGAACTATAAAAAAGTGTCTCTATTTTCACTTTCTATCTTTAAAATGAACATGTGTTACACAGTTTTAAAGCAGATAGCATTTTTCTTTATTTTGCATAGCTTGTTTGCTGATTCTGTGTGTATTCTTGTTTCCTAGTCTTCCCCTCTTTGGCTTGTCAAGTACACAGTCATGAGCAAGAGCAGCGTATCTCAAAATGGATTGTGCATACCAGTCAGCTTGTGTGCTTGTTAGGATACAGACCCACATTGCTGAGGTTGGAATGTGTGACCAGAAGTCTGCTGCTGGCACGAAGGCCACATTTTGAGTAACTAGGATACAATGAATATACTGGTCCCAGAGAAATGACAAAAAGTGTACAAAGGCTGGTGAAATTTGATTTGCCTTCCTTTCTCTCTTTCTTTTTGCCTGAAGACTTTTGTTTTTATTTTTTCTTTTAAAAACATTTTATTAGTAGTACATATTTGCCATACATTGAGTTTACATTCATCATAGGGAATTTGTACCTGTACATGATATACGTTTTCTTTTAAAGCAAAACATTTATTGGTACATTTTAGATACACATAACAATAACACATCATAATCATGTACAGGTGCAAATTCTCTTTTTAATTGTCCCCCTACTCTTGTTTTTTGTTCTTTTAAAGGGACAGCACCTCTCCAAAAGAGGAGGCCAGAAATAAATAAGAATTTATAGATTTTCTTTTCCTCAAAAGTCTTACAAAAAAATGCTCATCCTCTTTTTCAGGTCCTTCAGACACTTAAGAATTTATTTTTGCGAATGGTGGCAGACCGGGAAGTACAAGAGAGGAGACACAGGAGCAAATCCAGGAAACATGGAAATGCTCTGTGTCAAATGAAGCTGTTGGTTAACATGGATTACCTTAATGACCTATTAAGATTAGGTCATTAAATATACGTAAATTTTGACTCAAGAATAAGAAAGGCAAGAATGTTATACTAACAGTTGAATGGGCAGCAAGCAGAGAAGTAGAGATGAAGCAATCATGGTCAAATGTTGACAATTTGAAAAACCGGTGCGAAGCATTATCTTATCTCATTATACTGTTGACTTTCACTTTTATATGTCAGAAATTTTCTATAAAATGTTTTAAACTCACCTAAGAGAAAACTTTTAAGTATGCATCTCAAAAAATTATTTTCCTAAACATTTTCAAAGCCTCAAAGTGAGACATTTTTATAGTTGTTTAACTTTATGAAATGTAGAATATCAAATGTAGAAATTGCAAAGAGCATTCTCCTGACGTTCAGAATTTTAGATCTTTTGTCTACCAAATGTTAAGTGGAATAGAATGGCTGAGAGAGTGCTGATGCCCGCCAAATAAATATATTTAAAAGTTTTGAATTATTTATCTGAGAAAAAAGCAGAGTCATGCAGTTTTTACATTCAAATCTTTTCATAAAATATCAGATCTCAGGGAATATCGTTATAATCATGTTTCCTAGATTTCTATTATTAGGCTATCTGCCTTTATATCTACTTTCTGACCACAAATACCCTGAAGTTTTAGAAGAAAATTCTCTTAGCGGTTTGAACACACCCTGAGCAATATATTTGGAACTATTTTGACTCATTTGCTTTCTTCCCTTTTGTGATTTTTATGCCATTTAAACAGATATGAAAAGAAGACACTTCATTTTCATTAAGAGAAATTTTTCCTTGGGTCCTGAAATACACTGCTATATCAACCAGGCACCAATGTGAGCCAGTTTTCTCCCAGTCCACTGCAAGGCTAGTAGGTCACTCTGGGAACAAGGAAGGACTCCGATGTAGCCTTTCTATACAGAAAATGCCATACTTCCCACCTTTTGTAAATATCATCAAGGAATCCTCTGGACTCACAGAAAGCAGCAAGGTTTCATTGTGAAACGCAGGTACC